GGTACGCAGCTGTCCGCGGGAAAGGCCGGCTAGCCTCGCCGGTGGCCTTCGGCTTCCCCCGCGGGAGTGCGGGGCCGGGCAGGCGCGGGGGTCCCGCAGCGAGGCCCAGGCAGGGCATGGAAGTGACCTAGCGCCCCGCTGCTGCCGGAGCTGCCTGCGCCGCTGCCCTCCCCGCTCCGCTGCAGAAAGTTTTGCGCGTGGTTATAGCTCTACACAGAGAAGCAAGTATATTTTAATCCATCGCACTGTTTCTTCACCAGGTTGGGTTTATTTTCAAGACACTGGAAGCTGTTTGGGCATTATGATGTGCCGGGCTAGAGGGAATTTAGAGTTGGGCTTCTTTGTCCGCATGTGGCGAGCAGTAATGCGCTCCTAGCAGGAGCAGCCGGCTTTGCTTTCCATCGCACAGCAGGTCCCAGGAAGCCACTGAGCCTGTGCTGGAGGAGGGTAGGTAGGATCCAGGTTTGGCTCTGCAAAAATGACAGTCCTGCTGCAGATTTAGCAACAGAAAGCAGTGTCAGGTAAATAAATGGGACGTTTAGTAAGCAGATTTCCTTTCCTTCAGCAGTTTCACTGGTTATAAATGAGAGAAGGAAAAAAAAAACAATCCTCATGTAACTACAAAGTCCTGTTAAAATGAACCTACATCATGGATGTGCTGGTAATTTGAAAATACTTAATTTTTAAATTGATTTAGCCTGAGACCTGCATACTGCAAAGCTGTTAAGAAGTAGGGCAGGGAGGCTGTTGTTTAGTCTTAAGCAGTGTTTACTACTGGGCTGCTGTGACAAGTAGCCTGTTGAAGTATAATTATAAATCAACGTCTTGGTTCCAAGATAAAATCTGTATCTGTAATTTACTGACCGCTTCTTCTCTTTTACATACAGATATTATTATTTCTAAGGAAAAATTGCCTGCAGGGAGTTGACTCATTTTATTCAAGATGAACATTTACTCACTGACTGTGTAAATTACCTCTGCTAAAGTATTTGAGGCTTGCATAATTTCCAACACTAAATAGAGAAATCAGAGATGTCATTCATGCATTTTAATATTCTTGTAAGATTCTGGACTGCGCTAATTGTCAGAAACTGCAAAAGGGCATGTTCACAGAAACACTACTTATTAGTAAATTATGGTAATTGCTTTTAAGGTTGTTTAACTATTCCCTGTGTGAAGTCATCTTAGCAACCACAGTGGAGAGGAAGAAGATATGTACAGATATGTATCTTTGTTCTGTTTGGGGAAATACGTTAGCTTATCTTAAATGTGAATTGGCATGCCTTGAATTCTTCTCAGTCGAGGACATTGTGATGATACAGGCAGTGTTCTTGGAACAATTCAAGACCAGCATATATGAAATCTGCAAGCATTTCATAAGAAACGGCATTGCTCACTGGAAGACTAAGTCTTCTATTTAAGTGAGGTGAAACCGGTTGCTTTATTCAGTAGTTGCTTGAGAGTGGATCTTATCAATTTTTACAGTGGTGTTTGCTACAATGGCTGTGGGTGGGCTTGGGCAACATGCAGTGATCAGTTCTCTCCCCTCTGCGTATGGACTTAGCTCACTAGCCTCCAGTACATGCATGACTGCAGGGTGGTGTATGCGGTATGGTGCTATTTGTTTAAGTTTGCTTCTATTTTGTTATGATTATGGCCTCATTCAGAACGATGCTTTGCTAGTGGTGCTTCCAGGAGTATACAGCCCCACAAAAGATCTGAACTCCTGTATTTGCAGTCTTTGACATGAACTCTACCTGCCCTATTTCAGAACCCTATACGCATCATAAAAAAGAAAGTTTTAGTGTGCTCTGAATCCCCACAAGACATGGGGGTAAGGAGAGGAACTATGTTTCCATAGAGGTCCTGACATAACTAGATTGGGCTGCCTACACTTTCACCTAACTGGGATGGCGGGTGGGGGGCAGTGAGCATCTTCAGATCCTGGTGATTTTGTTGCCGCTCATCAGTGGCTGTGTAGCATCCACCCCTCTGCCTGGCGATGTAGTTGGAGCCCTGCAAAATTAGGACCTCAGCCTAAGGAAAGCCAGTCCATGGCGATCCAGTGAATGCTGTGTATTGTATCGTCATAGCGCTTAAAATGACAAAATGCCTGGAGAAGTTTTAAAAACTTGTGAGGGGGTGCTTTGCCAGTGAAGAGTTTATCTTCCCATCTATATCTCCGAACCGTTCGTGTACTAATATCTGATGTCATGACCCTTTCTGTAATCATTTAGTTCCAGCAGGTCTGAACCTGAGAGTTTATGGTCAGTATAATCTTTTTGGCTATAGATTAAGTGGGTAATTTTAGTCTGAGATTAGTGTTTGGGATCCTTGAATGCCATCTGAACCTTTACTATTTAACAGATAATGAAATTGCCTTTAATGCAATTATATTTTGCTTGTAACTTGTGTTGTGAAGACATAACAGCCTCCTTAAGCTGTTCTGTGATTAGTGTTAATGCATGTAATAGGTTGGTCTAGAGAGCATTGTTTAAAATAGCTTTCCAGACCGTTGCATGGTAGAGTGAGCCAAATATGCTGCCTTGCGGCTGTGATGGGAAGGTTTCTTCTCTATTTCAGAGAATTTTGGATTGAGCACTGTATTCTGAACTGTGTTGCTCCTTCCTTTCAGTCTCAGTAAGAAGCACCGGGGAAGTCATGTTCCACAGTAAAGGAGATGGGTTACAGTAGTTATGTGGCAAAGTGGTAGAGTGTGTGGTGCCGCCTCCCCCACCATGACTGAAGTGAAAGGTATATCACAAACTTGCTGTTACCTGCAACAAGCTAGTTATTCTGTACGTTATCACAGCTAGCCAGGAGGATTGACTATGCTGCAGTCAATCTTCAGTTGTTGGAGGAGTATGTGTCTGTTCTGTATACACAAAATGTTCTGAAATGGAGTCCATTGTTCAAACTAATCTATATAGATTTTTGATCTTTGTTATAGGTTCTAGTCATGTAAGTCTAGGAGAGTAAATATATTTATTTAAATAAATTAATAAAGATGATGCACATCTTTTGAGGCTCTTTATGCTCTTCTGTCATCTCGTTTGAGGATGGGTGATACTGTTTTCTTATGAAAGGCGTGAAATGTGGGAAGAGTTGTACAGTTCTGTACTGCTTAAATATGCTCAAGAACATGAAAATGTTTGCGTCTGTGAGAGTGAAATAGATCCACATTAAAAACCTCAAGTGGCCCCAGGTCATACACTCACTGAGAACTGGGAGCTTCCCAAGTAGGCTTTTACATTGTTCCTTATTTGAAGGTACCGTAGAAGGAACTCTGGGCAAAAGAATATCATAGAAATGAGGAAAGCTCGGTTCTTTCCTTTCTCCAAGTTTCCTCTAAAGTCTGCAGCAGCAGCAGTCACAGCCATAGGTTGCACTGGCTTTGTATGCTTCATCTCCTCTTACTTGCACTGTGGCTTCTTGGCCATTAGCTTTATGTGGTTGCCAGTGTTCTTCTCTTTCCCAGTGCTCCACGCTGTCTTGGCTTGTCTCCTAATTATCCCTGAAAACTTGCTCCTGTAATAGTACATAGACCTGCATATCATGGCATAAAATAGTAACATCACCTCCAAATAGGGACTGAGCAGCATTACGTTTGAGAGAAATAAGGTAGCAGTGTAGGATGTCTTATGTTTTTTTTTACCTCTCCAAACCCCCAAAGTAACCTGTAGCTGCTCATGGCTTGTACTCTGAGTACCTGACTCCTGAGGTGGCTTCAGAATAGTAATGCTTTGACTTGAGCTAATTGTCAAAACACATCTTCCTGCTGATTCTGTCAGTGTATATACTGTATCCCTTCATAGGAGGCAACTGCTGGCAAAGATCAAGATATAATCTCTACAGTTTAGCTATAGCATTTTTTTTAAAGTTCAGGAACTAAAATTATGGTGCTTGCGAGGTTTTCATTTTAATGTTCCCCTTTTTATTCTCTGATGTTGCATATGGAATCAGTATACCAAAGAGAAGCTTCCTAATGGGATTAGTAGGTTTTTGTTCCCCATGCAGCTTTTGACATTCCTTAGGTATTCTGTCTGGTAGCTCTTCCTGCTATGATTCAGTACAGGAGAATGTTTCAAGCATGTGCATGTGTACATATGTAATGAATCAGCTGGACTAGACTGGGGAAGGGTGAGAAAATCAGTTCTAGCTCTCTTCCTTTCCCATCCAACTTACTTGCTTACTATACTGTTATGAAAGTTGGAGATCAGGTTTCCCAAGATAAACCTGCTCTTGGGCAACAAGTTTAGAGTATGCCACTTATGAGATTTGTCTTACAAAAAATAAACAAATGCCAAAGGTAGATGCAAGTCTTTGTCCGCTCATCTCTAACTTAAGGCTTTTTTTTTCTTCTTCTTCTTCCAGTGAATAACAGCTATCTTCATTATTATTTTTACATAACAAAAAGTGTAACTGTCTCATTAATCTTATTACATTTTTCTTTGTTTATAGGTGTGGAAGAAAATGTCAGTCAGCATGCATGAGAATCGCAAATCTAGGGCCAGTACTGGCTCCATAAACATATATTTATTCCACAAATCATCCTATGCCGATAGTGTCCTTACTCACCTGAACCTTCTGCGTCAACAGCGTCTCTTTACAGATGTGCTTCTCCATGCTGGGAACAGGTCATTCCCCTGCCATAGAGCTGTTCTAGCTGCTTGTAGCCGCTATTTTGAAGCAATGTTCAGTGGAGGACTCAAAGAGAGCCAGGATAGTGAAGTCAACTTCCATAATTCCATTCACCCGGAAGTCTTAGAGCTTCTTCTGGACTATGCATATTCCTCCAGGGTTATCATCAATGAGGAGAACGCGGAGTCGCTGCTGGAGGCTGGCGACATGCTAGAGTTCCAGGACATTCGGGATGCTTGTGCAGAATTTCTAGAAAAAAACCTTCATCCCACCAACTGTCTTGGCATGCTGCTGCTGTCAGATGCTCACCAGTGCACCAAGCTTTATGAACTCTCTTGGAGGATGTGCCTTAGCAACTTCCAGAGCATCAGTAAAAGTGAAGACTTCCTCCAGCTGCCAAAAGACATGGTAGTGCAGCTGCTTTCCAGTGAAGAATTAGAAACTGAAGACGAAAGGCTGGTATATGAGTCAGCTATCAACTGGGTCAACTATGACCTGAGTAAGCGTCACTGTTATCTGCCTGAGCTATTGCAGACAGTCAGACTGGCTCTCTTGCCAGCCATATACCTTATGGAGAATGTAGCAATGGAAGAACTTATCACCAAGCAAAGGAAAAGCAAAGAGATTGTAGAAGAGTCAATAAGATGCAAGTTAAAGATCTTACAGAATGATGGAGTGGTCACTAGTTTGTGTGCCAGACCCCGTAAAACTGGCCATTCACTCTTTCTTTTGGGTGGCCAAACCTTTATGTGTGACAAGCTGTACCTGGTGGACCAAAAGGCAAAGGAGATCATTCCGAAGGCTGACATCCCAAGCCCACGGAAAGAGTTCAGCGCTTGTGCCATAGGTTGCAAAGTGTATATCACAGGAGGACGGGGATCAGAAAATGGAGTCTCCAAAGATGTGTGGGTGTATGACACTCTTCACGAGGAGTGGTCAAAGGCTGCTCCCATGCTGGTAGCTAGATTTGGGCATGGCTCTGCTGAACTCAAGCACTGTTTGTATGTAGTAGGAGGACACACTGCAGCAACTGGTTGCCTTCCAGCTTCCCCTTCAGTATCCTTAAAGCAAGTAGAACAATATGACCCTGTGACCAATAAATGGACCATGGTTGCCCCACTCCGAGAGGGAGTAAGCAATGCAGCTGTAGTCAGTGCAAAGCTGAAGCTATTTGCTTTTGGGGGTACCAGTGTTAGCCATGACAAGCTGCCCAAAGTTCAATGTTATGATCAGTGTGAAAACAGATGGACAGTACCAGCCACCTGCCCCCAGCCCTGGCGTTACACGGCTGCAGCTGTTCTGGGTAACCAGATTTTTATTATGGGTGGAGATACTGAATTCTCTGCGTGCTCTGCTTATAAATTCAACAGTGAGACATACCAGTGGACTAAGGTGGGAGATGTGACAGCTAAGCGAATGAGCTGCCATGCAGTGGCATCTGGAAACAAATTATATGTTGTTGGAGGCTACTTTGGCATTCAGAGATGCAAAACATTAGACTGCTATGATCCCACGTTAGATGTATGGAACAGCATAACAACTGTGCCCTATTCATTAATTCCCACGGCATTTGTCAGCACATGGAAGCACCTCCCCTCATAATTGTGTGTATGTTGCAATTACAAATTATCAGGTAAGAAACAGCACCTTTGAATTCCACTGTAATCATGCTTTTCACAATGCTTTCCAGCAGCAGCTCTCAAGAGGAGGGTGAGTATATTCAATCCAATCTTATAGCTGGAGCAACTGAGACACACACATTCAGGGGCTGTTGCAAGTCAGATGTCAAATCTGTGACAGAGCCAAGAGCTGAAACTAGTTTGCCATGCCTCCTGCATGAAATTCTCCTTATGGGCCCTTTTTCTGCATGATTTAGATGTTGAAAATGTTCTTCTTGCTAGGCCCTATACTTGTGGGGAAATACAGTTAAACTATTGGAAATTGAATCCTGCTCTGCATTTAAATACTATATGCCTTCTGAAAAAGGGTCGGGTGCTATTTTCCTGATCATGCAGGACAGGTCACTCTATATATGCAGTATCAGTGCCCAAAAACGACATTGTAAATTCCAACTTGAGGCCTGATGGTGAATTCACTTGAATTTCCAGGCAGACAGCCTTCCACCTTAGGGGAAGGTTGCTGTCCTCCATCCATGAAAGATGTTTGTTAGTGCCTCGGGCCTAATTTGCTATCTCACCCAGACTGCAAGGGTTGCTTGCACCTGCTTCGACTAAGGTTGAATTTGGCCCACTGACATGCTTCAAAATACAGATTTTGTTTTTTTCAAAACAGTTACGGTCATATATGTTGAACTAGATGTAGTGTCAGGAAGACATACAATCAATATTGCTGGCTGACATAATTACCCAGTCTATAGCACGCACTGTTCCAAAACAATTTAATTATATGTAATGGGCCAAGCTCTCACCAGATGCAACTTGAGCGTTGTATCTCCTCACAAGCAAGTCTGAATTTGGCCTTGCTTGTTTGGTTATTGCACATTCCTGATCTTTAGGAGGGGAGAAAAGGTTAATGAGAAAACAATAAAAAAGCTGGGTATCTGCAAGTATTGCCAATATTTTTCAGATCTGTTTTGTCATGCTAGACGACTAACCATTGCTTCAGCTGTTTCTAATTTTTCATAATTTTTCATCTTTTTCAGAATCACATCACTTAAAACAAGTCATTGACATTTTCCAGAGCTATTAATCTAGTTATTTTGCAACAAATCTGGCAGACTTCCTTCAGTATTGTATTCTTTCGCCACCTCAAACTACTTGAGACTTCAGTACAGAATCATGGTTACAACTAGCCAACCAAACAAACATAGTGGCATGCTTAATCCTAAGTAATCCATGCCCTGTGAGTGGTAACTTCTTTTTGAATTTGAACAGTGTGTAATGTAACCATGAATCTAGGCAGGTTAGAAGGAACAAGCCAAATAAATGCAGTTGAAGTAATTAAATGAGCTCCGCATTTGCTCTGCAAATCCAGACTGATGTAGCTTCTCTGGAAAAAAGCAAGAGCAGCTTGTGTTTAAAGACTCCCTAGACTCTTCTTTTTGGGACACATCCTATTTTCTTCTGGGTGTCTTTAGCAGCTAGAGACATGTGCCTGACTGCTGCAGTAAATATATGAAACCCAAATGTATATGAAGCAGTGTAGGTATAAGTATATATCTAGACATATAGTAGTAGTTGTGAAAGACCTCTCTGGGGGGGATTCGTCTTGTAATCTGACTTTCAGCTGATCAGGAGCCTTGATTCAGAAAGGAATACATGGGCCATGCGAAGTAACAGGTCAGAGTAGAAATCTAGTGTGAAACTGGGCAGTATTGTGCCCCTTACCTTTCTCTTCAAGCTGAATAACCATCTGAGACATTGCTATCGCTCCTCTTTGTTTTGTTTTTTCCCAGACTTGCTCTTGTGAAAGCAGGGCTGTGGATTCCATACAACCTTAACAGTCCCTTGAGACTTACCATATCCGGAGCGCTGGGGAGTAATCACGTCCCCCTGATAGAGGGCAAATAGAAGCCTTGATTTCTTTGAGATGACTTCCTCACTAGTTGGGAACGACATCTTTAAATCTTCAGTAAATTTCTATTATTACTCGCTCGCCAGTGTTATCAGAACAGTAGTATTGAATGCTCAGACTCAGGTCTGTGCCAAAAAAAATATTGACTTATTCTTCTGAGACTGACTTAATTGTTTTAAAGCTTACAGTACATGAGACAGAGTTTTTTATTTTGAAAAATAGTCCTCAGAGTATAACGGTGTAAAAAACTTCCATTTGCTTTGCAGTATCTTGTTAAATGGCATTATTTTAGCTTCATTAACAGACTAGATAACTGGATGAACGCAACTGTAAACTGAAGTCTCTCCAGCGCTGTGTGCTCATCCAGAAAGTAGTGTTTTTTGTTTTTTGTTTTTTTCCCTGACTCCTGCTGCTTTGTCAGTGGGTGGGAGGGACAAAAAGGAAATTACTTCTGATTACCCTCTGTTTTCAAAGCGCTGTGTGGCCCCAGTCTGACAGCTTTTAGGAAGATTTTAGTCTGCTTTGTCCCCTTTCTCAAACTTGAGGTTTTGAGTAGGCTGGAGATTTTTTTTTTTTTTTCCCCCTCCTCCTTGGAATTGTTTATAACTTTTTTCAAGTTCATCCCATGACAGGAAACATTGTTTTGGCTTCAGTGTTGATATGTACATTTCAGTGGGAAAAATGACACGCTACCCTGAAGAATGTCTAGAAAAGACTAATCAACACTAAGTACAGAAGACTTTTTTGGAAGTAATGACGATGGTCTGTTTTCAAACCCGCAATTGCAGAGACTTGATGCTTTAGGCTGTTATGTAGGCTGCTGTGTTTCCTGTGAGTGTTCCCTGTTGTTCTTAGGCATCACAGCTTGAAAGATATTTGGTATGTTCAAATGAACTGTGAGTTCATTGGAGCTCCTTTGCATTGTAATGATGTAGGATTTGCCCCCCAAAATTCTTGTAGCGCTGTCAGAAATGATCCTTATAAGCTGATGATGGTTTGGAAGTGGACATTTTAATACAGCTTCATAATGAAAGAAGAAAGCACAATCTCGGCATCAAAGGGCTGAATTTTTCATTGAATAATCGTATTTTTGTAATTCAGGGTGGAATTGTTGGTGCATGGTGCATTGCTATATGAAAAGAAATGGAGCAGACTTCTGCTGTAACGAATAGCAGAGAAGTTTTAAGTAAGGGGATTAGTATGTCCCTTTCTATATGATGAATAAATTAAATTCAGAGTTCTTAATGGTGAGTGTAGGCATTGGTGTGAGACACCTTTCCCTCCCTTCTGCTTTACTCCAACCAGGTTTACCTTGGTCCAGGGATAGAAAAAACTCTTTACGCTATATGTTCAAGTGGAAGAGAAGTTGTACAAGGTTATTTTCAGTTAAACCAAACAATTCCACAAACCTTTAACATTTTTGGGGAGCACAGAGTAGTAGGATGCAGAATCTATCAGACTGAGCTGTATTGAGCCAATGTGATTTAGCTTCCAAATGACTTCCATATCCAAAAAATCAAGTAGTCTTTCAGGGTTGATGGGATGGCTTGCTAGTTGAATAATAGAGGCAGAATCTGACCCTAAATAACTATGTGCTGGGCTGGCTTATTTATCAGTAGTTGGCTATTAAAACAGGAACGCTAAGCTGGGTTGGGGGCAAGGGGAGAAGCCCATCAACTGGGTAGTATCCTAAGCCTAGCTTTTAGCTTTTCTCTGACATCTAACAAAAACCTTATGGAATACTGTCTCAGCAAAACTCCTGAAGCCTTTTCTTTTTCTTTTTTTCCCTCCCTATGCTTTTAGTTGTACTCCATTATTTAGAGAAGAAAATTGGAACCTCAGATCTGGAGAAACGGTTTTAATGAAGAAAAATCGTTCAGTGTCTTTTGCATTTGAAGAAAATCATCTGCACCTTTTAAATTATCTAATCTAGACATGAAGGAACGGGAGGAAAAAACTGCCTTCGGTGCTTCAGCACATGGTTTAAATATGAATGAATGAACCTGTGATCTGGTCCTTGTGCTAGTAATTGTGGATTAATGCCAATGTTAATCAATCCTTCAAAGGAGAAAAAAAGAGACAGAACTTCTCTGAGCTGTGCAGCACACAACTCGTGATTTTCATGGACTCCACTGTTTGTGTGTGAAATTTGAAATGGTTGTCACCTCTCTTTGTGATGGTTTGAAGTGCCAGCACCAGCTGCAGAGGAAGCAGGCCAGGTCTGAAGCAGTGAGATGTTGCTGTGAATGAAGATGCAGCAGAATTGCTGCAGAACTCTGCTTACTGGAGCGAGCTTGTCTGTGGGCAATGCCTACAGCAGCTTTTAGGTGCCTGTGTTGTGTTGTCCTGTGTGCAGTGAGTAACCTTCTGTTTGATAAGGAATGGCACAGTGGTGAAATGTTTTTGCAACAGTGGAGAACAAAACTGATGTCCCGCAAATGCTTATTGTTCCCTTTCCTCCCTGTATTTATAAGTAATTCAGACTGTCCCATTCCTGTTACGTTACTTGTTGTAGATACAGTTATTTATTGTTCAGTGCTTGCATGCTGAAACAATGCCTGCAATTGTCTTCATGTGGTCAGGGCTTGTGTGAATTGTTGTATGTTTTGCACATTTTGTGATCGCTGACTTGCTCTGCTGCACAAAGAAAGAAAATTGTTGAGTAACAGTTGGAGGTGGGAGGGAGGGGTGGCTTCCCCGTCAGAACTGGAACGATTACAAGGCAGGATCTTAAATTACACATGTACTAAAGGAAGAAGCCATGGAGGTCACTTTCTCAGGCCACCAGCTCCCCAGGTTGCATGTGGTGTGTCTTGTAGATGATGTCCCTGCTACATTTCATTTGCTGGTCATACCTTTGAATTTCTAGTCTGAAAACAGCACAAATCACTTACAACTCTCTCTTTGTGCAGCTTCCCGATTGCAATGCAGATACTGTGGAATAGCTTCTGGATACCAAGCCCAGATGAAGTCGTTGTCCAAAGTTATTTATTTATTTATTGGGTTAGAGGGTGGGGTACTTAGTATAGCCACACTGACCTGAATGAGTAGAGTACGGCTGATTCAAGAATAAAAACAAAACATTCAAGGTAGGTTAGTGATGAAGTCTTAAAAAAAGAAAAAGAAGCAGAACAGCAATTTTGCACTGACTGGGTTGGCTCATCCCTCTGGATTTCAGAGGGGGCAGCTGAGTGGGCAGGTGTCAAAGACCCGAGCTCTCTAGCAAAATTCCTATTAGGATAGAAAATGAATTTCAGAACTCTTAACCTTAAAAATAGCCCTCAAGCTCTGCTGTCTCTTATTCTCCATAGCCAGGTATGTCTTTAAACATTTGGCTGCTCAGAAGTGTCAGGTACAATCCTGAGAAGCCAAACTTTAATTTTATAAATAAACTTGTTTCTTTTTATCAGTCTGGTCTTGAGACAGATAGGAAGCTACTTTCTCCTCTGAATTTCAGAAGCTTATGTTTCACAGATGCTTTCTTTGCCAGATTCTGTTATGAAGCATGTATTGTATTGTGTTTTTTTCCTAAGTGTTTATAGAGCCCAGTTTAACTGGCACATTCAGTACCATGGTTGATGTGTGCCACAGGATAAGTAAAAAGTTTGCATGCATGCATGCAAAACAGAAATAATCACATTGGTGATGCTTGCTTTTCTCTGTGTGACAGTGGTGTAGCTGTATTTGTGAAAATTTTATCATCTGAAAGTATTAACACTGGTCACTGAAAATTTCTCTGTGCTGCCTTATGTTTGACTTGCTGTTTGGAGTAGATAGACCCTTACATTTGAGAAGTAGGATGTTTGGAGTTCTGCGAGTACTGAAAGAACATTGCTTAATTATTGAAGGCAATGGCTTTTTTGGGGGGAGGGGGAGGAAGGCCCAGCTAGATGTGAACGGTTACAGTTCCTCTGGTTAAGTTGATCTGTTGAAAGAACAGATTTTTTTTTTTTGAAGTGTTTAAGCTCACAGCCTTCCCCTCTGAATTGATTCTTTTCTCTTATATGTCTTTTAAGCAATAGAAAAACACCTTAGATAGGATAGGTCTTCCTATAACCCTTTACTTGCACAGGTTGTCCTGTTGAAGTAAACAGAATTGAATTGCTGTTGCCTTTCATCTTGTGGATCACTCCTGTGAATTGGAAGTGAGCCGTAAAATCAGATTTCCTATGTTTTGCATGTCCTCTCCCCAGGCATTAGTCACTACATGAGGTGCAAGGAAGTGAAGAACCAGGTTCCTAGGGGACCCCTTGCTTGAATAAGGACATAAAGGTTCAAGACCTGTTTTCTCCATCAAATTGCTTAGAGTCCAGACGTGAAGCTGCACTGCGTCCATTTAGCTTACAACACAATTCTGTTTTGTAGCACCATGCAACTTCCGGAAGTGAGATGAATTTTCTGCAGCTGTTTCCAAAGTTGTGGTCTGCTTTCAAGTACTCGATTAATTTCTGTGTGTAGGCTGAAGGAAGCTGAAGTCAGGGTGGGCCTCTGGCTCTGCAGGGAATACGCTGGGCTCTTGCTTTTTGAATTGATGTGGGAATCCTGGCTAGCTACTTGACCATTCTAGTCCTGCAAAACACCCCACACTTTGAAGCAAATGCAATTTACAGCGGAGTGCACACAAAAACCTTGGCATAAGACAAGAAGGTTCCTCTTATTTTGCAGGCTGGTTGCTGTAGAAACATATAACAAAGGACAGCCTTCCTCTTCTGGTATAATTGTGTAGCCCCTTTTCTCTAGGTCTGACACCTGTCTGAATAAGAGTGATTAGAGCAGAATAATGTTCCCTTTCCTGGCTATTGAAGATGTGGTTCACGTACTAAAAGAAAATCGTACAAGTGAAGAAGTAAAATGTCTGTGTTGTGTCTTTTTGTTTGCTACTACATCTTAAGGTTTTGTAAAACTTGCATTTTTTTTTTTTTCACAATGTGAAACTGAAGGTCAATAAATTATTAGAGATTTTCTCTTTGGATCATTTCTTTTAAAGGTTGACTCTCTTTCTCCCCTCCACTCCCCCCTGCAGAAATGTTTTAAATCCTTTATAATGTCCTTTTCATGTCCTTTTCATGTCCTTTTAATAAAAAGACATCAACAACATGCAGTTTGCTGCTTTGGTTTAAGCTTCTGCTTCAGCTGCACTTCCCTTCCCTTTGTTCTGTTCTGCTGCTGTTCCTATGATCTATATCTCAAAGTTCAGTAGTTAAAACTCTGAGAGCCTCAAAATCTTTGAGAACAGGAAACGCAAGTTTGTTGGTGCTTGCAGTACAGTTTAGTGCCTGATATGACTTGGAAGCATAATTAGGCCTCTCAAATCCTTCATAATTATTCTCAAGGAAAAAAAAATGCTGGCTGTGTATAAAACATTCCAGTTGTTTTATATAATGCACATGTATAGCCAAACTCTTTGATCTTTTAAGCTCATTTACGTTTTTTATTTTGTTTTTTTTAAAAAAAAAAAAGCGCTATTGATTTTCTTTGTTGGCTTAGCACCTGTCTGGCTTTAAGGTGTCCCTAGTTGCTGTCCAGATCTAAAATCAAGTTCTGTAGTGGTATTTGTACACCACCCTGGTAGCCCAGTTGCCCAAGTCTGCTTAATATTGGCCTGTTGTCCTGCCTCAAAAAGGCTGTTCCACAGATGTCAGTCCATCACTTTGGAGTACAGGAATAAGGCATTTCTTCCTTACTTGGGTTGTCTCCCTGCCTGACATCTCATCCCTTTGCCTATACAGCTCTGAAGAAGGAAGTAAAAGCAACAAGTCTTAGGAGGTGTCTGCAGGTCACAGCCCAGTGCAATGAAGATATCGATACTTCAGTTGCCATCACTAGTCTGTACAGCACGGCTTCGGGCACTGAGTGCACAGCTTTCTGAGCCTGGCCCTGGCAATGAAATTGTAGTGCTTATTTAGCAGAGATAAGAGAAAGGTAAGGCAATAGCAGGAGGAAGTATTGTTTCCTGCAAGAATGAAGATTTCTAAAATCTCCTAATCTTCCTATCAGTTTTAAAATTCCTGTAGCTGCCCCCTGGAAGCCACAGGCTTTTTCAGGGTGGTTATCTGCCCAAAAGAGTAAAGGTTATAATATTAAGTGACTTAATTGCCTAACCACTGCTCAGTTACCCTGTGTTTGAGGTGTCTGCAATCATCCTTGGATGGGGGTGGAACGCTTATTTTAGAGAATTTTGAAATACAAAAGATACTGGTAGAAATCAGCCTTCTCCCAGAGTACGAGAAGGTTAAATCAGTCACAGTGCTCATTGCAAACTCTTTGCTTAAAAATAACCTGGGTCTTATCGGATTTGCATTTTACCAGGGCCTAGGATGCTTATAGTAGCACTGGGCATGAACAGGCTGCTGTAGCCCGACTCACTGGTGTCCTTTTAGGGTGTCAGGACTTCTGCGGATTCAAACTCCCCTTTCTTGGCTTTGAACGTGGAAGGCTTCTTGTACTGGCGTCTGATATGTATGGTGAGAATTTAAAATAGATAATTTGCATTTAAATTTAAAATAGATTGCTGACAATCTGTAAAATAGACACCTCCAAGGCATCAGTGCTATTAATGGTAAGTATGAATACTAAATGCTTTGAATGAGTAGAAAGGAATCAGTTCATTAGCACTGAATAAGGCTCCATCCAGCATACCTGGGTGATCAGCCCTGACCTGAGAAAATCTCAAAGGCTTTGTCTGTGCTAGTAAATTGAATGTGCCTGGGAACAGCCTCTGGTACTGAGGCCAGCTGGCCAGCCAACATCTCTTTGAGCAACCCCTCTTCCCTGCAAGACAGGGTACCTGCATGCGAGCTGTTTGGGGTGGCCACTGGACTGCTCTGACTTCTGAACCCTGCCCAGGAATGCTTTGAATGAGTTCAACTTTGCACGGGCCAAAAACATGCCAGGGACCGTTCAAACAATGTAGCAGAACCAACCATCGTGCTCCATGGCCTGGGAACATTTCTGAGCATGGTTTAATTTATTGCTATAGCGGTAGTCAGGATGTCCAAGTAACATCATGTTTAGATCCTGGATAACTGGGCAGAAGCTGTCTGACATAGCATTAGTGACTTAAAATGCTGCTGAAGGTGAGGGAAGGAATGCTGTCTTGGAGTCACCAGGACCTTGATAAATGGAAAAGAAAGGATGGAGAGATACTGCTTCCTCCAGCACTGTGACATGAACCTTAGAACCTTTAGAAGTGCTGAGAGAAGAGAACCACCCATGTGTATATGAAGAACAGCTTGTGCACCTGAAGGTAAGAGGTGGAAGGATCTTTAGGGCTTTGCAGCAGCAGGTGTAGTATTTTCATGTTCTGGTTTAAAAAAACCAAAATGCAGTGAAGCTTTGTCACGAAGAGACAGCTTAAATGTCCATGCGGGTATGCATATATGTGCTTGTATCTTGACTAGCAAATACTGAGGAGCAGAATGAGACAAGCTAAGGCTCTTTCATCTTAAAGGATCACTAGTCCCCACCTGAACTGTCATATCATTCCTTTTGGCACTTACACCTCTAAAACCTGCAAAATGTACTCCCCTCCATGGTATGGTACGGCTGAGATCTGGGATGATAATGTGGCCTGTAGTGTGTGTGTGTGCATATGAAACATACAGAAACATGCACAGCTGTCATAGAAAATGTGCAGTTTATTCAAATCTTTACATTTGTGTATAGGTGTGGCACGAAATAAAACAAAAATTCCCTCAATGGTTAACTTGCACATGCACAACAGGACCATCTGTCCTGTATGCGCCTTTAATAATGGTCTGTGAATTTTAAAGTATCAGTATTTGTTAACAACTGTGTGTTTAAATATGAGAGTTAGCCTTAAGACTAAAAATGTGCATAAAGCATGACCGTGAATTAAAATGAGTGTTTAAATAAATTACAAATCTCTTTCATAATCATGTTTAGGCTATGCTTCTGGCTTGACAATGCTCTGACAGACTCAGGAAACCAAATTAGACAATGTGTCCTTTTGTGTGTGTGTGTCTAGTTACCCTAGAAACCATAATCTTTATCTCTGAAGCGATGGGGAGCTGTGAAGGAGGTGAAGCAACTGGAATTTCTGCAAAGATCCTTCCTAATCCTACTCCTGTGTTGTCAGATATTTAGTAAATTATTTCACATGCGTGCTGGATGAAATTCATTAGATATTTTCTAATTGCTGTGAGCAATTTGTGGGTCATATCCAGTGCTTGGATTTAGAGGTGAAGTTCATGGTTTTGACTCTGACTCATTTCAGTGAAACAGATATTGAAATAAGCCCAAGTCACAAATACAAGGTATAAGATTTAATGAAACTGCAGTTTCTTCCATGAGATTTCAATGCATCTCATCACATTTCATCACAACAGTTTCATGAGGGAGTAACAAATATTTAGTCCCAGCACAAGGCAGGGAAGCTGATGTGTGCTGGATTTTTCAAAGCATGCAACAGGAGTCATTGTAGCAGAGCTTCCCTGGATATTTTCAGCACCTTATCATAGAGCCACGGTAGGCACTATTCCAGTGAATGATATTCCAGGTTTCGCTGTAAGGCTGTCTGTGAAAACCGTTTTTTTATTCACATGGTTCATTGACTTGAGAAACAGTTAAACTGTTTACAGAGTTGATGTCTCCCGGGATTAGCAGAAATAGAGGGGACTTGTCACAAGGTAAACATAAATGGGCTGATATTTTATACAGTGGTCTCACATAAGGAACAATAGTTTTCTCAGGAAAATGGTTACTCTTTAGCTAAAAACAACTGATAGGAAGTAGACAGGTTTAGAGAGCTGTTGGTAGCAGAGTATTTACTTAGAATCAAAATGTTATTATGCTCTTTAGTATTCCTTAAAATTTTGAGAGGTACTGAGCAAAAGAAAGAAAGATTCAGGTCTGCTTTTTTTTCTTAAAATGATAGATTTTCTTCTCAGTTCAAAAATATAACCATCTCATCTTAAAAATATTTTAGAGTAGTTTAAAGTCTGGGGATCACTGTGAAGTGACTCATGCAACTCAAATTTTCTTCTAGGCTGAACTGTTGGCTGGAATGGATGGATCGAAGTACTCAAACTGGCTGAAGGGACAAAAGATTAGTGAGTGGATTGGTAAAAGTTTCCCTGGGCACACAGAATACTGCTTCAGCTCCCATTTACAAACAGACTTGGTCCATATTTTCTTTCATTTCTGTCTTTGCTCTTCCTGCCCGTTCCTGCATAGACTACTGCCCAAGCTCGTCTGGTTAGTAGGCAAGAGCAGTAAACCTAGCAAAAATAAGGAAGAAGAGAATTAACATAGATGAAAAGCAAACTGGTCTGAAGTCATGAGTGCTTGTGGTCCAAAGAGGCTCAAACATCGCCCTGGGAGACATGCCTTGTCTGCAGGCCCTCGTTGCCAGTGCTGCCCATTCACCTTGCCCAGGAGCAAGGCCTGCATAGATCAGAATATACAAAAAGTGAGACTGGGGCAATGCGATGCTCCTGGTCTTCCCTGAGAGCCCTGCTGCCTGTCGTGAAAGCTAGCACAGTTCAGACAGTGATCTCATCGAGGCAGGACAAAATAAGGGAGAGAGAAGCTGTCTTCTACGTGCTGCTGTGCCTAGCGCAACTTGAGTTCACAGGTAAATTGCTTTTGATGCATTCTCTTGCACATTGCCATTGAATATGGTCCAGCAGCCGTATCCCATGGCCTGATAATCCTGCAGAGGATCAGCCTTTGTCTCACTCTTCCTGTATGGAAGAGCTTTCGCCCCATTTTCTTATGGCTCACAGCTGTTTGAAACTGTGTTTGGTGCAGGCCTGTATCTAGCTGTTTCTGGTTAACTTTGCAAACCCTGAAAATACCCGTGTCATAAGGTAAGAGCTGATGTGTTGTGTTAGCTAATGTTTTGTTAGCTTTAAAAGGGTTAGTCATCAGTGCTGATGTATGTCCTCTTCTATCTAGCTGAAACATGCCTTTCATCTTTGTTCCTGAATAAAAAGTTCTGGAACAGTTCGATGCATATGCTCTTGGTAAAAGTTTCAACAACCACTTTGCTGTGCTTTCAGGCTTGAAACGTTTTCTGCAGGTGTTTCATATTGGAATTTATTTGCTATCTTGTATTTTCAGCACATAGATTAGAG